TATTGCCTAGCAATTTCCTTAACCATAAATGTAGGAATTCTGCTATATGTGCTGGAGGGGCTCAGCCACGGTCAGAGACCATGTGGGGTTCACCCACAAAAGACTTGTGGACCTATATAAGAAGGTATGATGGGCATCTTCCAACCCATATTCTATGTCTGAGGCTCATTTCTCTGCTTGCCAAACATCTAGTGCCATCAAACTGGGGGGCAAGCCATCATCTCCTTTGTCTGAGGACAATGTAATAATAACAAAATAGTGCACATGAAAAATTAGAGATATTTGAGTATTACTATGAGCATTCTCTAGCACTACAGGGTATCCATAACATGTAATCACTAATACAAAGTAAAGTCACTCAATTGGAGGTGACAAATGGGGTGCATAGAGTGACACCAATAGGGGTGGTCAGGAAGGAACTAATATTGGGGGCACAAAAGGCAGCAGGCCACCAGAGCAAATCTGGCATTAAATTAGTCTGATATAACCTATAAATGTGCAGAGTCTCACCTTGTTGTTTTGCGTGAGGTAAGCCTGTAGTGATAGACACTTCAATAACAGCATTAGAGTGGAGGGGGCTCACCCCTGTTGTTGAGCAGGGATTAGTGTCAATATATAGGCCATGATACAAGATGGACTGATGCGACCACAGTTGTAGGAACTTGTAGGGCAACCCTGCTACTATACTACATATTAGGTTTAATGTTGCAATTTGCCCTCCCTGTATTTGTGCATGGAGGGTCAGCAAACAAACTGCACATATGGCTGTCTCGCTAGTATAAGTGCTTGCGGCTCAAATAAATTGGCTACCGCACTAGTGTATGCAAAATGGCTGTCGCATGACGCGTGGTAAGGCCTACCATGCTTTAGTGTAGGACAACCCAGGAGAGCAAGGGGACTTAACCATTGGGCAGAAACAAGCGACAATGTCATGACAAATGCGGTGCCGACCACCGGATAAAGTCTCCCAGACCACAAATATAAGCTCTGGTGGAAGCCACCAAATATACCAAGGGGGGGAAACTAGAAGGAAGTGAAGAATGGCATCATTAACATCATTTTATAAACAAAATTAATCAACTCTAATACTTTAATAAATAAGAAGGAAAAATATATATACCGAGTAAGCAGACCTGTTAGCTGGTATGGAGCATGCAAAGAAAGAGGCATTTATGTACTGTGAGGAGGCTTTTTATATCTTGTTTGTGATTGGTTAATGTTTATATGCTTTGCTGCTATGGAGATGCAGTAAAGAAAGTAAAGCAAATATTAAGACTGCACGGGAAAGGCCCGTTTTTGTTAATCCACAATCACGAGTTTGAAGAGAGGTGGAGGAATACCAGAGAGTGAAAGATCCTATTTTTTTATTATTATTATTATTATTATTATTATTACTACTATGCTCCACAACTTAACTTTTTTTTTTTCCCTGCTAAGGTGTTTTTTTGTTTTGTTTTTTTTATGTGTACTGTGGCTACATTTCTTGAGCAAAGATATGTTTAAATATTAAATCTTTTGTAGAACACACTACTTAATACATGTGTGTATAAAGTCATCTTTCCATACCAAACTTGCAGTTGGAAATAATAATTTAAAAGAATAAAATAAATAATAAAAAATTATAATTTAAAAGAAAAATACACTTGACATCCCAAGTTATCAAGCACATGTCCTGATGCAGCATAAGGGTTCAGTTCTCAATCAGTGCTCTGGTCAGTCCCCAGGCTTACTCACACCTACAGCACTGTAAAGGAGACTGAATTTTTCCATATACACTTCTAGTGTAGGAGGGCTTCAGGGAGAGTTTAGGGCTTAATTGTACTGTGAGCACTATAGTATAGAAAATACAAAATTATTTCCCCCACTGCACAAAATGATACTTTATTTTCCATCCCAGTTCACAGAATCCCCCTCTTGTTATTTGGTCTACCTTTTTGTTACTTAAGGTAATTTGTCATTAATTTTTGTTTTCGTAGACCTTGATAAATATATGGATTACATTAATTTCTCCAATTACTTTAAACATTTAGGGTGATTGGGTGGGAACATTATCCTTATAGATCACAAGTCTGTTCAATAGCTCTGCGTTAATACAAGGATGATTAATCAAGGCTAACAAGGATTTCCTTTCACAAAAATATAATCCTAAAAACAAACCTCACAAACACCCCCCCCAAACAAAAATAAAACAAACGGTATAAAAGTATATTACTACTTATCTATCACTATATGTCCACTGGGAGATTTATGAAGTCAAGAAGTGACTATGAACAATATGATCTATAAACCAGGTATTAGGGCAGTTCCTGACTTTTGACTCACTCTGTAGCAATGCAAACTGGTACTTTTTATTACATAATACTGATATGTAACCCAAAATAATGATAAAACTACAATTGCAAACTGCTTTTAAATACATTTTTTTTAAATATACACAGCCCATGTATTTAATATAATCCTACAGGGGGAATAAAAAAAAAAAAGGGGGGGGGAGAAATACTTTAAAATTTGCAATTCTACCTTTAATTCTCAGTATTCCATTCAGTTTGCCAATCTTGCCTTCAATAGTGCTGGTGCAAGAATGGCAAGTCATTCCTTCTATCTTCATTTTCACCTGAACATCAGAACCTGAAGATATTTTCTTTGGGAATATAGGTTGTAAAGACAGTCCTGGATATTTTTGAACCATGACTTCAGTGCTTATAGTACTAGGTATAAATGTGACTCTAGCCACTTTCTCTTCAAGTGAAGTCTTAACATCCATGACTCCCTTTAACTGCAGAAGACTGTTGCGTATTTGCTCAACAGATTGTTCCTCTGATAAGTAAAGAAAAGTGTTGACAGTAGGCACAGGCTGTGGACTTGTTTCAGCAGGAGGAGCTTCAAATCCCATATCGTCAATAGCTTCACGCAACGCTTCTGACGTCTGTAACTTGGGGTCGTAAATAATGGCAGCATTTTTTCCTTCTAATGACACCTACAAAGCAAACAAATAACATAGTGAGGCCAACACTAATAAAATATCTCTAACTAAAATTTAAATGTACATCGAAAAAGATTTATATAAACCAGTGTGACAGCTTTGTGTACGGAAACACTTCTGATGCCAAGTTCATCAGGAAAAATGTTAACACACAGAAAAGTTATATTTGAGTATCTGAAACTGTAGGAGTTATATTCTATATATGTGCATATTGTTAAAGAAGTTACTGGATTTGGACTCCAAATTCCCCAGATCTTGGTCTGATTGAGCATCTGTGGGATGTGCTGGAACAATAAATCCAATCCATGGAGGCCCCACCTCACCACTTGCAGAACTTAAAGGATCTTCTGCTAATGTCTTGGAACCAGATACCACATAATACGTTCCGCGGTCTTATGGAGTCCATGTCTTGATGTATCAGAGCGGTTTTGGCCGCACAAGGGGACCTACATGATATTGGGCAGGTGGTTTTAATGTTGTGGCTGATCAGTGTATATTGTTTAAGGAGAGAACATAATTAGACTCTCCTAGTCAAGAAAGTAAATTAATACTCTTTGATGATTTCCAGGGATGGTTTCCCCAAGAGGTGAGTCTCCAGGAACATACAGATCTATTGAATTGATGTAACTGCATAATCCTCCCTATAAGTATCCTGTTTTTCCCCATACCTTTGTTAAATTTGGTTGCATTCATTTTTACATCTGGTTACATGTTGCAGCCTCAATCTTGCCCTACGTGTTAGCCTTCCATACGCGAACATAATAAAGATTTCAATTAAATTAAGAAGCAGTTTCTTCTTATGCTATGAACAACTTGGAAAGTACAAATCAACCAGTCGACAGAGTCTGTGGTGAGTATGCACCTGGAAAACCTTTATTTTCCTATCCAAAACTGCCCAGTTCTGACAGGAGGCAAATATAGTACTGTGGATTGCTCATTCACAAAGAATTAAAAAAAAAAAAAAAATATGGAGTACCAGCTGCGGTGGAACACCGGGGCTCTATTATAGAACTGAGAAAAAAAAACAAAAAAAAATTTAAAAGTCTTTTCAAAAGAAAGGCTGACTTTTGTAACTGTATGCATGACTTGTATTTATTTTACTGGAAACAAAACGAAGAATAAAAAGCATGCACTTTAAAACTATCACACAGCAGTCATAGATTATGCATCTTTCCCACTCCATTGTTTGGTAAAACTACTAAACTTTTTGGCCACATGGGCTTTACAAACTAAACTGCAGTCATGTGATTTAAACTTTACCTATGTGCATTAACAAGCACATAGGAACAGAGTATGTGTTGTATATTTGTTTTCTTCCCTAACAGGTATTTGGGAAGTTTATTCAAACTACATCCAATTGTTGAATAGCTGTGCCCTTGAAAACTCATTGCTTTTTTTTTTTTTAAACTGAAAATTTGCAAAAACGCATTTCCAAACATGTGCAGTACAATAAAATTAATGGTGAATTCACTTGTAGAAAAAAAAAAAAAAAACAGCATCTGGGAAAACCAAATTTAATCGAACTGTATTCAATAATCCACGTCATGTTTCCTAAATGGCCTGGAGGGGAGACATTAATTGCATTTATTTGAGACACACGGATACAAAAGACAAACTTTATCCAATTAAAAGCCCAAGCAATAGCAATTGCAATAAAAGCAGTTAACAGAAAACCCTGGTCATCACTGCAAAACCATATAATCAAATAGTTGGAAGAATTACAATAATGTAATCAGCAAAAAGGTGGAAATGGTTTAATTGATTCTAGCCAACATTTCAGGTTTCCCTAATAACATCCAGATGACATTTTAAAGGGAGTAAAACTGAAATATTTTTGATATTGGAAATCATTTCTCATATACTGATCTTTACTTTACAGTCATGTAAGATCTAATTAATAATTGAATAAAAGAATACTTTTTTTTTTTTTTTAAATCCCCCCCCAAAGGTGTATTATTATGTTGACCTTGATTTATATTGTTTTCTGATAGGTCTCCTATAAATGTTTAAATAACAGATTATCCAGATAGATCCGTTACTAATGTGCACATATATATATCGTCATGGTATTTGATTAATCGGTGATATGTGCACGATCATAAACACTATATTCTTATATTTGTTACACTTGTGTCCTTATTATTATGATATTATTTATATAGCTCCAACAAATTCCACAGCGCTTTACAGTGGGTCGACGAACAAACATGTAGTTGTAACCAGACAAGTTGGGCACAGAGGGGTCGAGGGCCCTGCTCAAAGAGCTTACATGCTAGAGGGAGTGGGGTAAAGTGACACAAAAGGTAAGGATAGTAGTATAAGACTAATGACAGTTGCAAGAGAGGAATCAGTCGGGAGCTATTAACAGTTTTTTTTAATGATTTTTTTGAAGGAATGCAGATTGGGTGAGCATCTAAGGAGGAAAGTGAGTGGAACGGTAAAGACCTCGAGAAGCCTTGAAGGCGTGCATCAGAGGTGGGAGTATGGACAGAAGATAGATGTAAGTCTTCAGCAGGGTGTAAGGACCAAGACTAGGGATCAACCGATTATCGGTTTTACGATAATCTGTATTTTCGTCAATATCGGTATCGGCCAATTCAGATACCGATATTGCCGATAATATATAACAAGACCGCGGGCCCATTACAAGCCCGGTCCTGGGGGGGCCGGCAGCAAGCGTTTACTTACCTCCCAGCAGCTCCTCCAGCTCCCCAGTGTAAGTCACGCGAGACCCGCGGCCGTCAGAGCGTTGCCACGGGTTACCACGGCACGCTGGCCGCGAGACTTACACTGGGGAGCTGGAGGAGCTGTTGGGAGGCAAGTAAACACTTGCTGCCGGCCCCCGCACTGCTCAGCCAATGCCACTGGACCACCAGAGAATATTATATCCCCTCTCCATGGCCAGGCAACAAGCAGGGACGGGGGGACAACAAAAATAATTAATAATAGTATAAAAAATGCCCCCTCACACACTATGCAAACACACTGCATTATATACACATACTACACAAACAATGTATATAATGCAGTGTGTTTGCATAGTGTGTGTATATAATGCAGTGTGTTTGAGCAGTGTGTTTATATAATGCACATTACACAAACACACTGCATTATATACACACACTATACAAACACACACACACACACACACACTGCATTATATACACACACTGCATTTTATAAACATACTACATTCACTATACACACACACTCTGCATTCATTATATACACACACACACACACTACACAAACACACTTTGCATTTAGTATATACAGCATTCACTTTATGCACACTACCCACACACTACACACTCTGCTTTCATTATATACACACACTACACCAATACACACTGCATCCACAACGCACACTACACAAACACACACTACATCCACTGCATCCACTACACATAAACACACAGCTCCCCTGTCTAAACACACTGCATCCACTACACATGGCATGTATATTTTGTGCCTTTACCTTTAGAAATAGTTTTTATTTTACAAAATGGTAAATGTACAGAATATCGGCTATCGGCCTGAAAGTTCACAGAATATCGGTCTCGGCTCAAAAAAATAAATAAATCACTATTGGTCGATTCCTAGCCTAGACGGGACATACTTGGGTATTAGGGAGGACAGATATGTGGAAGCAGCATTATGTAGAGATTTGAAAACAAGAACCAGAATTTTAAATTGAGCTCTTTATCTTACAGGAAGCCAATTTAGGGACTGACAGAAGGGTGAGGCGTGGGATGTGCAGAAGGACAGGAAGATGAGCCTCGCCATTGCATTCATTATGGACTGTAACGGTGCAAGTTGGGAGCATGTAAGACCACTAAGAAGCGGATTACAGTAGTCAAGGCGAGAAAGGACAGTGAAATGGACAGGCACCTTAGTCGCATCTGCGCACAATGTTTTTGAGATGGAATCGGCAGGATTTGGTGATAGACTGAACATGAGGCGTGAAGGAAAGGTCGGAGAACACCTAGGCAGCAAGCCTGCATGGTGGAGCTGATAGTAGCACCATTGACTTTGAGGGAGACAGACACAGGAGTAGCAACACTTGAGGGAGGAAAGACCAGAATTTCAGTTTTGGTCAAGTTGGGTTTAAGGCAGCCATCCAGTTAGAAATAGCAGAGAGGCAGTCAGAGACATTAGTCAAGAGGGACAGAGAGACATCAGGAGAGGACAGAGATTTGCGTGTCATCCACATAGAAATGATTACAAATACAAAAAGACAAGTCCTGCACTCACTCCCATCACTCCTGGGCGGCAACGACCATAGTACAAATCAGCCCCAATACATACAGTAAACACCAAAGAAAAAGGTTACCAGCGCCTAAACCCCTATGTATATTTAAACAAATGGAGGTTATTTAGTTACTCCAATGGCCATTGCAGGGAATGCCCGCCTGCCCCGTCAAGGCAAACCCACTCATGTGGGTCCTATGCTGACCTTTCACCTAGCTTCCTTGAGCCTCTGGCAAATATATCTCTAATGAGACAGAGATGGGTATTTTTAATATACACCCCTATATACTTATTAACCATTAGTAGGGAACACATTGGATGGGCGGCAGCATTGTAACATTTGTTTAAATATACATAGGGATTTAGGAGAGAGCGCAGGTAACTTTCTTTGGTTTTTACTGTATGTATTGGGGCTGATGTGTACTGTGGTCGTTGCTGCCGCCCGGGAGTGAGCGAAGGACTTGTCTTTTTGTATTTGTATTCACTTTTTGTACATAGCTATGTTACAATGCTGCCGCCCATCCTATGTGTTCCCGATTAAGAGTTAATAAGTATATAGGGGTGTATATAAAAAATATTCCCTCCAATGGCCATTGGAGTAACTAAATAACCTCCATTTGTTTAAATTTACAAAAGGATTTACAAAAAGGATTTAGGAGAGAACGCAGATAACTTTTTCTTTGGCGCCTGGAAATGATATTGGAAGCCAAAAGGAGCTAATGAGTTTACCAAGGGAGGCAGTATAGATAGAGAACAGTAGGGAACCAAGGACTGAACCTTGGGGGACACGAACAGCGAGGAGTTGGGGAGAAGAAGCAGAGACAGAGAAAGAAAACACTGAAAGAGAGCTGGGAGAGGAGCACCAGGAGAGAGCAATATCTTGTAGACCGATATTGCGGAGGATGAGAAGAAGCTGTTGATGATCAACAGTGTCAAAAGCTGCAGACAGGTGAAGGAGAATTTACAGCGAATAGATCATTGTATACTTTGGTCACAGCTGTTTCAACAGAGTGCTTAGCAGAAACCAGACTGAAGCAGGTCTAGCAGAGAGTTGGACTCGAGGAAGTCTGTCAATCTCACATACACAACTCTTTCAAGGATCTTCGATGCAAAAGGCAGTAGCGAGATAGGACGGTAGTTGGACGGGGAGTTAGGGTCAAGGTTGGGCTTCTTTAGAATTAGGGTTACAGTTGCATGTTTGAAGGGCGATGGAAATATGCCAGAGGAGAGAGAGTGATTGAGAATTTTATGGCAAGACAGGAGGCTTCATATTTGCTTTATCTTTCTTTACTGAACCTCCCAGCAGCAAAGAAATAATTAACAATAATGTAAAAATAATTCAACCAGAATGTAGAACAGTATTATATGATGTCATCAAACTCCTCCCATATCCTCTTTCTTTGCTGCTTGCCTCCCAGGTGAGTCTGTTCCAATTATATTGCTTTTGGTTTTTGCCTTTTAATGCAATATTTGAACAAATGTTCTACTTAATTTGGTAGTTTTTATAGCACTATACATCCTATCACTAAAATTATTTTTCTCTGGTAAATGTTACACCGAACATGCATACTCATTTAAATTCATAACACTACTTTATTTGGATAGTACTCCCACAATTGTACCCAGCATGTATGTTTCACTTCTGTGTTTTTTGAGCTAAATCTTTTAATTAATTCATAGTGGGTATTCCTTTAAATTGACGGAGGCTTGTCTCCCCGCGATTTTTATTATATTTGCGGCCGCGGCTTCACCTCGACTGTGACCAGGAGTCCGCGGCTCAGTCTCTTCGCGCCCTTTTCTCTGCTCCCCGTCCTCTCGCATCTGAGGCTAATTGACGCGCTCTTCTTTCAGTCCATTTGCATAAGCGGCTGCCATTTTCGCTCGTTTATACCCGCGTTTTTTTCTGCAGCTACATAGCCGAAATTCTCCTCCTTACTTCAACGATCTGGTAAGTACTTAATTTACTTCAATGTTTTAGCACACATCTTGTGCTAACCTTTTACTACAGTTACTTATATTTTTTGTTCATCTGTTTTTTTATTAACAGACACACTGTGAAATACCTACCTGCTGTATTTTATTTTAAATAAAGGAGGGCCTTGTGGGTGACCCCCACTATTTTTCTTTGATTCACCTTTTATTGATTGTTGTGGGTGACCCCCACCTTTGAATTATTGGTACTATTTAATTTATTAAAGTGTTTTTAACACACTACTTCAGTGGGTGACCCCCACTTTCTGTATACATATACATTACTTAGGTGACCCCTCAATTGATTTATAATAATTGTTGACACAACCAGTGTCTGTTTGAATTAAGGGGCTAGCCCCACTTGGTATTTGAATAGTGGTAAACCCACTTATATGTTTTAGTGGTTAAGCCCACTGAATAGTTGTGTGCCAACCTTGCGAATTAAATCAAAACACCTTTTGGGAGACCCCCATTTATAATTTACCAAGTACTGCTGGGTGAACCCCACTCAATACTTCCTTTGCTTCACTACTGTCAGCTCACAATTAATAGACCTACCATGTCTGATAATACTGAGCCCACAATCTCTCAAGAACTTAGAGCCTGGCTCGTCTCAACCATTGCCGAATCCATCCCCAAGGCGTTAGCAGCCTTCCATGAGAAGACTTCAACCGAAGTAAACCCTAATATACGTCTACCCTCTGATTCAGAGAATTCCCAACCTTCAGGGCAAGGGCAAGGCTTCGGCCAAGTCTCAAAAATTGTCTGTCACTCGCCCCACCCAAGCTACTTTCGACCCCTTAGAGGATTCTACATCAAACACGGGCGATGGGGTAGAGGACTATAACCTCGGCTATTCTGATGAGGAGCCCTCGGCGAATGCGCTAGGGAATTCTACATCAGAATTTGTCAAGGAAACTTTCATTTACAGATACCAATATTTCTATAACTAAGGGACCCGATTCAGACACCCTTCTGGATGTCTCGAGTGTTCCTTTTTTCGACCCTAGGTGTCATCAGACACCCACGTTCGGCCAAATGGGCCCCACCCGACCACATCTCAAAATTTTGCAAGATTTGGCTGCGTAAGCCCCTTGAAAAAGAAATAAGGGCTAAACTCAGAGCCGAATGCCCTCGGCCAACTATACCAAGTAAAGTGGCTCTCCCACCAGAATTTGACCTGCTATTTGTGACCTTCCTCACTAAAACAGGAAAAGACCTTCGCAAGGGATTGAGCAGGGTCTTAAAACAACCCAGGACAAACTCCTGGATATCGCTGGTCCCATCATCCAAATTTTCATCCTAGCTGACGAAGCTATAACTAGTGGGGAGTTTGACCCTCACACAGTCCGAGAATGGGCCCAAAGAGCCCTATGCTTCCTGGGCAATGCAAATGTGGCTATATCCACTGAGACACGTAGGGCGGCACTACTTAAACGCGATGCTAAATTAGCAGACTTAAGCTCCCAAGAACTGGGACCAGAAGCCAATGGCTTGTTATTCGGGGACTCTTTCATGAGAGATCTGTCCAAACAAGTAGCGGTATTTACTAACTTAAACAAGGCCCAATCCTCCTTATGCAGTGTATTTCGCTCCCAGTCAAGTCGTTTTTCTGGGAGAGCTGGACGTTATAGAGGCCGAACGAACAGCAAAGCTGCCTTCACAGGCTACAGGCCTCGTCCCTCAGAAAACCACAGGCAGTTATTCACCAATAGAGGATCCATCAGGGGACGTGGATCAGACTCCTTACGCGAACGCACTCCTCCAGGTAATAAACCTTTCTTTTTTCAATGTACCTATAGCAGGTCTACTAACCCATTTTTTCCAAACAGTGGGAACTGCTTTCACAGGATCTATGGATCCTACACACAGTCAAGGGGTTCAAAATAGATTTCCTTTCCATTCCCTTCCAGGACGCACCACCTACACCATTTCGGATGTCTGCAACAGACAACCTGGCATTACACAAAGAATTGAACAAACTGGTGGAAAAAGGGGCGATAGAAAGATCACCCTTCCCACATACTTTTCTAAGCAATATTTTTCTGGTCCACAAAAAAAAAAATCTGGAGACCTGCGTCCAATAATCAATTTGAAAGACCTAAATCACTATGTCAGATATCGTCATTTCAAAATGGAGGGCATCCATCTTCTCAGGGACCTCCTTTGTGTGGGAGACTGGTTCTCCAGATTCGATCTCAAGGACGCATATCTCACTGTCCCTGTCACCCACAACCATCGGGCTTTTCTTCAAGTCCTCTGGCAAGAAGAAATTTGGCAGTTCACATGCCTCCCGTTCGTTCTTTGTTCCGCACCATGGGGTTTCACAAAGCTGATGAAACCAGTGATGGCGCTAATTCGATCACAGAGGATTCGTTCCATTGTATATTTGGACGACATCCTGTTAATGGCTCAAGATCCAGATCTTTTACGTCAACACACGGACATGACGGCGGCCTTATTACAGAAGGTTCAGTTTCTCGGATTCTTAATAGACTCTGTACAGGTAATTTTACAACTACCTTCTACAAAAGGTCAAGGCTATAAAGAAAGACATTTGCAAATCGCTATCAGCCCACCAGATTCTCCTATGCAATCTGGCTCATACCATAGGCCTACTGTCTGCCTCTATCCAAGCCATTTATCCGGGACCCCTACATTACCGATGCATGCAACGGCTCAAGACCTTCTATCTAAACCGGTCCATCTCCTACGACCAATTGATCTACCTAACAGATGAAGTCCGTATAGAACTTGGTGGCTTCGCAACATGGAAGCCTGGAATGGCAAAGCCATTTTCGTATCACATGCCAGTCTCTTGGGGTGGGGCGCCACGTGCGCCAAAAGGTCCACCGGGGGACTATGGTCCCCCTCCGAACAAGCACTGCACATCAATTGCCTACAATTGATTGCAGGATCTTTTGCGAGTCTCAGTTTCGCAAAAGATTGTTTAAATTTTTCACTAGTACTGCGCATGCACAGCGTCTTTGCAGTGCAATATGTGAATCGGTTAGGAGGTTCCCGATCCAAATACTGTCCGACCTTACCAAGGAACTCTACCAATTCTGCCTAGAGCGGAATTTATCCATCAGAGCGGAATATCTTCCAGGCACGGACATCCTAGTCGCAGATTGGTTCTCTCGCCACTGGCAATTGGATCCCTGCTTATTCTATCAAATTCATTGTCTTTGCGGGCCCCTCACACTGGACCTGTTTGTGTCTTGGCTGAATCGCCAGACGGAGGCCTTTAATCAGCTGGCTCCCAGATACCCAGTCCTGGGCAGTCGATGCCTTTCTACATCCTTGGCCGGAGACAAGAGCTTATGCGTTCTCCTTTCTCCTCCTTTCAGCCCTTTACCGGGTCAAAGCCATAGTAGGGACGATAGTTATGGTCACTCCGCTATGGAGAGCCCAGACTTGGTTTCCAACCCTGCTAGAACTGTCTGTGAATTGTCCAATTCTACTACCTCGATTCCCCCGACATCCTCAGGAATCCAGCAGGACACTGTCACCCACTCGCCCTTCAAGGGCGGCTCCAGCTTGTAGCTTGGACTTTTTCAGGGGATCCTGGAATGTTTCGGGACTTTCGGAGACAGCTCAGGCTCTCCTATGGGACTCCTGGGCCCCAGGCACTAGACTAGCTTACCTCGCTGCATGGCGGACATGGGTCAGCTGGTGTTTGGAAAGGGATACCGATCCCTTTTCAGCACCTCTGACGATCATTCTAAAATTTTCTGTCTACCCTCTTTGATCAAGGCAAGTCCTTTAGATCAATTAAATATTTTCAGATCAGCTATTTCTGCGGCCCACAACCCTACTGACAATGCATCAATAGGAAAACACCCTTCAGTTTGTAGACTTTTACGAGGGATCAGGCTAGCCAGAACCCCTCTTCCTAAATATTCCAATTTCTGGGATGTCACTCAGGTTTTTTCCCCTTTTAGAATCCTGGCCCTCTAATGAGAATTTGACGTTACGTCAACTCTCTGACAAAGTGGCCTTACTCCTGTGTCTGGTATACTTCCGTAGGGTCTCCGACATTCGAGCATTTGATTTCCACGCTGTAGTTTTCTCGTCTGAAGGCGTTAAATTTCACATCACCAGACGAACAAAGACTAATTCTTCCTCTGTATTCTACCCTTACTTTCCGAATAGACAGTCACTCTGCATGGCGCTCTGTGCAAGGCACTATATAGATGCCACAACCACTCAACATCCCTCTACAGGACCCCTTCTCATGTCCTATGTCAAACCACACAAACCGGTGTCTGCTCCCACCGTTGTGCGGTGGATCAGATGGATACTAGCCCATGCAGGTATTGACTCCTCTTTTGGAGCGCATTCAGTCAGAGGAGCAGCCGCATCCTCAACCTTTCGTGCGGGTAGATCCCTCTCAGACATTTTGTCGTCTGCGGATTGGTCCAGGGAGTCTACCTTTCGTACATTCTATTTCAAACCTATGCCACATGCTGCATCTGCTATCATATAGGAGCATTAAAACAGCAAATATGAAGCCTCCTGTCTTGCCATAAAATTAGGGATTATTCTAGCCCTAGTGACGGAATAATCTAAATTTTATTAACGACAGGAGGCGAATATTTTCCTTCCCTTCTTTGTTTTCATTATCATTTATACCTGCCCTAAGGTAAGTTACTACATATTTTTTCTAGTCGATCTGTTTCAAACACATTCATACATCATCTGTCATAGGTTTACACCACAACACTTTAACCAAGAGTTTGATATACTCATCATTTTACATGAAATCTATTGAAATGAGAACCTATACTCTTATGGTTTTTTTCTCTACTTCCCTTTAATGTGAAAAATCCCAACACTTGTGATATATGGATTCATCAATCCTGTTGAAAGTTTACATGGTTGACTACATCAGGACCTCGAATTGGTCCACAGTTCATAGTTACGGTTTACATGGTTGATACTCTGATATTGTTGGCTACAGCATGAAAGAGGATATGGGAGGAGTTTGATGACATCAAATAATAATTCTGTTTGGTTGAATTATTTTTACATTATTGTTAACTATTTCTTTGCTGCTGGGAGGTTCAGTAAAGAAATATAAAGCAAATATTTGCCTCCTGTCATTAATAAAATTTAGATTATTCAGTCACTAGGGCTAGAATAATCCCTAATTTTAGTGAGAGGTAGAGAAAGAGAAGAAGACAGAGTACAGATGAGATGCGAGGAAAGGTGGTGGGGTGAGAGGACTGGAGCAGAACAGAAACCACTACCGCTGCAGCAGGTGCGAATGAATATAGAACAGCAGAGGGAGTGAGGTTAGGGGAAGTATTGTAAGGGGAAGAAGAAAGATGAAAGATCGCTTCCCTGATTGTAGAGATCTTGTCAGTGAGTTGCAAAGTCTGAGGCGGTCAAGTTAGTAGGTGGAGGAGGAACAATGGGGCAAAGAATAGAGTTTAATGTGTGAAATCGTAGTTTGGGTTCGCGGGAGAGTGTGGTTACGAGGGTATTGAAGTAATTTACTTTTGCAGAGGAACGAGCCAACCTGTATGAGCACAGCATAACTTTATAGTTGAGAAAGTCAGATGCACAGTGAGACTTTCTACAACAGCTTTCAGCAGTTCTGGAGCATTTTTGGAGGTATCGAGTCATCTTGGCGTGCCAAGGTTGTTGTTGGGGGCGCTTGCTGCGTTTAAATGTAGAAGGTGCCATGATGTCTAGTTGAGAGGAGAGGGTGGAATTGTAGAAGGAGGTTGCAGAGCTAGGACATGTGAGGTTTGAGATAGGTAAAAGAAGAGTTTGGAGATTAGTGGAGAAATGCTCTAGGTCAAGATATTGGAGGTTTCTGTGAGATTGATGTTCAGACAGTGGTGTCAGTTGTGTCTTAGGCATGCTGATGTCAAAAGTCAGAAGATGGTGGTCAGATAGGAAAAGGAATAATGGAGAGATTGGAGGCGGTACAGAGATTAGTGAAGGCAAGATCAAGAGAGTGTTTCCCGCTGTATGGGTAGCTAAATTGGACCATTGCATAAGGCCAAAGGAGGAGGTTACTGAGAGCAGACAAGAGGCATCAGTGCAACTGGGGTTGTTGATTGGGATATTGAAATCCCCAAGTATAAGGGATAGAGTGCTAGATGAGCGGAAGTAAGGAAGCCAGACAGAAAAGTGCTCAATGAATAGTCTAGGATGACCAGGGCGGCGGTAGATGATAGCAATTCTTAAAGGAGTGGGTTTAAATAGGCAGTCAGTGTGAACTTCAATAGAAGAAAAGAATAGGGCACCACCTCCTTTGCAGTTGAGTCTGGGAGTATGAGTGAATAGTAGCCCACCAAAACATAAACAGGCAGGAGTAGCGCTATCAGAGGGGGACAGCCATGTCTGTTAGTGCAAGTAGTGTGAGTTTGAGATGAAAAAGTAGTGTATGGCTGTTGATTTTAAATTACTGCAGATGGAGCGGGCGTTCCAGAGTGCACACTGAATGTTGGTAAGTAAGGGCAGGGTATTGTGATGAGGTTTGTGGTTGTTTTTTTTAGTGTGTGTAGAGAAGGTGAAGGACCCTGGATTGAGAAAGGCATCACCAGCTGCTAGAAGCAGGAGGTGTGAATGGGTTTTGTATGCATGGGGTCTAGGTTGAGATCGATTGTGGGTATTATCATTGTTTGTGAATATTTTCACTAGCTACACATTCTTAAACATAGGGATAATTGTTGCAATGTCTACAATACTGCTTGGGTATGCACAAATCATCGGGTGCACTTGATTTCTCTTTTGCTGTAGATACCAGTTTTCAGTACACGTCGATCACAGGGGTTCAACGCTTCAACGGATGAGTGTCGTTTTCTAATTACTCTTTTGCAAGTCCTAAGAGTGCAGCCATTTTTAAGATATTAAATAAGATTAAGTGGAATAGAAACAGATTAGTAGCATTGCCATTTATATAATGTAAACTATTTTGTTTTCACATTAAACCATTATAGTTCGAGAGAGGGGGGGGCCGTATGTTGCCACTCATGCACAGTAGCCTTCCAATGCTTCTTGATGATCTCAGCCAAAGAGCAGCAGCACTGAGTACAATGTGACGAAAGCTGAAAGGTAAATAAAACTCACCTTTGAAACTCTCATACTCGTAACAGGAGCGGGATGAATACCCGGATAGGTCTCATGACATTATAGCATTAAGAATACATGTTTGTATTCCTAATGCTATAGTGTTCCTTTACATGCTTAGTTTTACTTAGAAGGTTTTAAATGCATTTATTTTCATAAAACATTCATTTTCATAAAAAATTTTTTTTTTTTTTTTTTTAACACCTAATTATATTTACTCAGTGTTGTGTTTCTACTCTGTTCTGAATTCTAGTCAATTATTGAAAATGCATTTTTTTACCAAAATTATTTTAGATTGTGCTTTTAATAACACTAGCATTGTGTTAAGCTTTAGTAAGAATTGTAGCTTTGCTATGTCCACATGCATTAAATACAATCTTCCTTCAGATATCACTTTGACAAAGATATTATAAAGCACAAAAAATTGTTGCCAGAAACATTTACACTACAGATCCCTTCATTGTATGGTTTTTTTGAAGTGCTATCATAATTATCTGAAACAAACCGTGTCAGCAAGGATTAATATCGCTTGCATCTTTCATAATGCGTTGGGTGTATGCAATCTGTAAAAATTACACATCCACCTTTCAGTTTTACAGTAATTGAAGTAAGCATTCTCTTATGGACACATCTTATAATTATAAGGTTGACTTAAATAGAATGCTTCCTTGTGTGTCAATAATGGGTTGGGTGCTATTTCTGTTGCACACAGACAACGTGCCTTAAGAGATTAATGAACAGGGAATAGGTGAAGCACATCAGTGTCAGCACTATATGCAAACATGTTAACAAGCAAAGAGACTAATAGAAGACAGGCAACAGTAGAGGAACACAAATATACTTACATGCGCTCTATAGGTATCTTCATGAAATAAGGCTATTCAATAAACTTAGAATATGAGGGATGTGTTTTGTTTTTTTGTTTTTTTACTTTTCCTGACTTAAACCACTACATATCTCATAAACCACTGTTTGGCAGGAGATTGTGGAAGATCAGAATTGGCTGTACAATGTTAACCACAACCTGGTTCTTTGACAATCATTAAAAAAGTGAAATGCAAAGAGGATAATTTGTTTTTCTTTATATTACATTTGTTTATTTGCACCTACTTTGAAAGGACACTAAAGTCGCCAGAACCACTACAGCTTAATGTATTGGTACTGGTATATATAGCATATAAGAGCACTGTTAGCACTGTAAGCTTTCTGAGAAAAGGCATTGTTTACATCACTGCCTAGTAAGACCTCTTGTGGCTGTCACTCAGACGGCCACCAGAGGTGGTTCCTGGGTCAGTGCTGCAAGGTGTGCAGTTCTGGCAATCAGCGTTTCCATGTTCTGCATAGAGACGCTGAACTTTCCCCATAGAGATACATTGATTCAACAGGAACATTGTTTCAATGATAGACAGTAAAAAAAAAAAAAAAAAAATGCGGATGGGAGTAGCACAGCATTTTGGTGGGGCCAACCACAATGACACTGGTGCGGCTTGGGAGAAAAGATGAGTAAAATCACCAGTTTACTTTGATCAGAGATGGGGCCAGGGAATTAAATAGCCACTTCAGGACTATAGTATTAGGAATACAACTTTGCATTCCAGATGTAAATATGCCGGTGAAGGAGCTGGGGAGACAGAATCATGCAATTTCGGTCTCCTTAGCACTGCAACAGTAGTGCAGGTATTTGGAAGGGCTGAATTAAAATAGAAGCAGCTGGTAGTTGCAATTGTTGCCAAAGCACTTAACTCACACTAATCTTGGGCATCCCCGAATATGTATGCCCAGCTGCCATCTCAAGAACAAAGAAATGCTGATCTTAAAAACTAAAAGGTAATTTAAGAGATAAAGATTAGAAGCTATGCAGATATAATAACATACATGGGTAACATCAGTCATAATACAGTACACAGTTTGAAAAAACTGATCATTGGGGGCAGTGGGAGAGTGATTAATTTATAGATTAAATATATATCTCAAATGTATTTAATTTTGTGAGGCACACTAGGTATAATTTAATTGTGTTTGAACCAAAAGCTAAAGTGAATGAGAACGTACAACAAAACTATTTATAAGTTAGGTCACAGAGCACATATTACTCACTTGAATACTATGAACTCCATTGAGACTCCCAATCTTTTGCTGAATTGTTTGGACGCAGGAATTACAGGTCATGCCCTCTACAGGGATAATAACCAGCAGTGCTTTGATATCAGCCTCCATCCTGCTTCGGTCTTCACATCACTAAACAGAAAGAAAAAAAAAGTCCCATGTTAGGCTGAGTTAACAGACGGCGATATTAAGATTCATTTATACTTCAAAGGTAACCATAAAATTTACCTTCAAAGCTTTCTCCTTTTGAAATGAGAATCCTATCTATACTAGCAGAAATGTCCTATGAGCTGTGCATCCACGCAAAGCATGTCTTGTATTAATTCTGCCAGGACTGCTCCCTAATTTGATTTTACACTGACCAATCCATGTCAGTCCATGCAAATGGAGAACTGTATCACAATGTATTCTAAAAGACCTTCACCGTGACAAACAAATCTACTGCTTGCCTCTACCTTGTTTACACTATTATAATACCATATTAACCCTTTTAATTTAATGGAAACAATAAAGTGTTATAACTTCACGAAGAAACTAATATAATACTTTAAAATACAGAAAAATATGAAAGAGATACAAACATACATGGACATAGATAGAGATATAGATCACACACACACACATATATATATATATATATATATATATATACACACACACACATATACATATATATATACACACACACACACACATATACATATATATATACACACACACACACAAATTGCAAATGGAGATCCACACGCAAATGTACAAAATCTAACTTATTCTAACAATAACAGAAGTAGTATTGAATGTATTCAGCAAACACAGAATTGTAGAAAAATTGAAACCGAATCACAAGATTTTAAGAAATACATTTGTAACAATTTTTTTTAGAGATTCAGTTTTCAATTTACTACTAAAAACTAACCTGTATTGTCAGCTTTTAAAAGTTTGATCCCCCTGATGTCTCGGTACAAGGTGTACAGAAGAGAGATTTCTATTTGTTATTTTCAATGATTCCACAGCACTGGATATATCACACAAAGTGTATAACAAAGCGGTTTAAAAAAATTCAAATACAGAGGTAAAGTTTCATGGGCCTGCCTGCATGTAAACCACCCAAATATCTATGCAATAGAGTTGAAAGCTATGGTAGTAATTTTCATTGCATTTAAACTTATTAGTTTACAGAAGTTTGGTGTGTTTGTTCTTCACGAAGGGATTTTAGATAGCTGGTTTTAGCAAGTTCACAATGTCAGATGTTTCAGAACTTGGAAAATTAAAAGCACTAACACAAATATAGATTTCCTCGCACTAGTCATACAAAATGGGAAATTGCAAAGTTCAAACTAGAGTGTTTTCTGCAAACAGAACAGTTTAAACCATGTACAAACAGCAGAGCATTGAGAAAAGTTCATCGGCCATGGAATTTCTGTGTGAGTCTGCAGTTCTGAGCAGAGTTCAAGTCTCAAAATTCCTTCCTTTATCTTTAAAGACATCTTGTTAGTCGTGGCAGGAAATAGTCAGCTGGAAATATCCACTGCTCTGAAATCACCCCATCCGCAAGTATATATTATGCTGTGGCCTACAATACAACTCCTATTAAACTAGGGAAGCAAACTACAGGGAACTTTAACTCCTATGCAGCTCAGTCAGTCAAGGGCAAGTTGAATACTGTAGTCCCCAACAGCAGTCCTGCCAAGAGTATTCATATTGCTGCATGTTTGTCCGTGATGACTATTTTCCAACTTTGAATCCTGTTTGCCACATTTACAAGTCTCCAGTCTATTACCACTTTAACTGAAGCTATGGATTAGTGAGATTGATATAACAAGTCTATATTTTCTTTTTATAACAAATTCATAATTTGTTGTTAAGCGGCTTATCTGCCATCTAAGGAAAAAAAAAAACATTTATTGAAGGATATATTGCCATTAACCTTTTAAACAAGTTAGTCAATAAGATTTAACAATAAATTACTGGTTTTATATCACGTTGGTGCACAATATAAATACAGGGGAAGAACTTTCCCATCATGCAAACGTGTTGCTTGAATCGTTATGAATTACTTTCTTTGTTATACTGTACAGTTAATTCCCTGTAAAGACTATGAGAACACAGCCAGCAATGTCCAGCGGTTTGGCTGCTGAAATATACAAGTTCAAGTAATCTGTCCATTACAAAATATTTCACATATCATGGTTCTAAAGTCTACAGCTATATGTGGGGTTAAGGAGAACAGTCGGGAACACTTCATCCAACAATAAATAAATTGGTTCTGACACAGCAGTTTAATTTTCTGCTTAGTCACTAGCTGCATGCATTTCCACAGTAAGGAAACAATATTAGAGGAATAAACGCAAAATAAAAGTTGAAAAAACAAACAGTTTGCCTACAGCACACCACTATTTCAGTAACTTTATTTTCTCTGTGTGTTTATATCACAAATATAAAAGATACCCTGATGGATTTTTATTTTTTTACATTTTATTGTAATTGGAAAGACATATGGGTAACAGATTAAACCATGTTTAGAATTGTAGCAAACATGCAATATATTTGTAAATATGTCTTGTAGCCATGATTGTATTTTCTTGGAAACCAAGCATTTATAATTATTTTTGCTGTGTTATATAAAGAATAATCTTCAATGGTTATGAGGAACCATAGCAAGGCAACAGTGTACATTAAAAACTGATACAGATATAACAAATTGGATTAAAATGGTCACATTTCACGCATTTTGGTCTAGGTTTTTTCCCTTGTTGTTTTACTCTTTTGTGAAAATTTGAGTTGTTGTCTACCTGTTTGCACATGGTCTTTTACTGAAAAATATTTTAATAAAACGTCACTTAAAGGACAGGTTTGTAGCTAAAGGTATGCTAAAATAACCCAGCTTGCCAGACACGTCTCTTTACGTGGCTTAAATTGAACTCTATCAATATAAGACACGGTAAGCAATTAGTAGTTAGAGACATGTTAGGTATGGGTAGCCACTGCTGCCTTAACTCGGTTCATGCTGAGCTACAGGAAACCATAGTTAATAAACAAAAGAAACATAAGCAATGTTATAAACATAGGGAACACGGTGTCATATATCGAATTTTGCATCATGAGAGTTCGGGCAAGGCATGCTTTGGTAACACGCTGGCTGATCCTATCTGCTGGGAAAGCAGTCATCCAATACCCCGGCTGGGTTCAAAACTTCCATGTGTGTATAGTTCATGCAGGTAGGTGACCTTGCAGAGTCGGTGTGAGGCGGCACTCCTGCCCCCGGCCTGCGATGGGACCAGTACCTCGCTGCCACAAACTCTGTGACTGCTGGAGGCCAAGTTCTTTCCATCCTGGTTGGTGCTGAGGGCTCTAAGTGTTGCGCTCTTCCGTCGGTGTGCCAGGGCTTTGGGGTGGTCACCCTTTGGGCATAGGCTGTGGAAGGCTTGGCTTAGTGGAGGTTGGTGCTTTCGGTGTTATTTTGCCTGTGTGGGGCCCCAGAGCTCACCTCATGGTGTTTTGTTTTGTTTTTTTAGCTAGGGGTAGTGTCTACCTCATAACGCTTCTAGTCGGTTTTTGATGTTACTGTGTGACGCATGTAGATCAGCCTGACATGGTACTAGGCCTCGTGTCTCCTTGATGAGTGCATCCACCATCTTGTGCAGTGACTCGGTTCCCTCTGTGCAAGCTTGTTGTGGGATCAGTGTAGCTTGAAGTACGCAGGTAAGAGGCGGCAACAGTGGGTTTTGTGAGTGAACTGGAATAACTCCCACCGATTCTGGGGGGGGGGTTATGGGTTTCGGACGCGATTTAGCCCCCTGGCCGCGCTGTGAAGGTCAGCCGCCACTCCCAGCCGGGACCGCACTAGGCCTCAGTAGCTCTGGACCCATAATCCGCTGCAGTTTGACTCAGGATTGCACCAGCTGGTGCCCACTGCGTTCCCGGTACCACTCTGTGTGGGTGCAAGATTGGTCTGTTAGCGGGCTTTAGAGCCTTGTATGCGGGGAGCCCCAGTCCTGTGCGACCACTCAGTTAGACGGCCAAGCCCCGCTCCTGGGAGGTTTAATTTGCTCTTCTGAATAATACTTTTCAAATGGTGACTAGAAAAATCTTCCAAATGACAATTTAAAATCTACTCATTAAATCATTAAAGAAAACCTGAAATCCACAAATTGTGGGGATGACAAGTTTATATTAAAAGGTATACTATAGTGCCAGGAATACAAAGCTGTATTCCTGGCACTATCGCTCCCCCTCCCTTGCCTCCCTCCTCTCCCCCAGTAAATAAAGGGTAAAAAAAAAGGCACAAATTCGCACTGGTTGCAAATGCCGTGCTAGCATTAGACTTCCCCATAGAAAAGCATTGAACCTATGTGAAAAAATATGACGCTGGAGGACCTCATGCAGAGCGTGAGGACGTGCAGCGTCAGATACCAAACCAAAGGTCCGTTTCAAACCAGGAAGCCCTCTAGTGGCACTGGGTGCAGACTTAGAGCTGCAACGTAAACATTGCAGTTTATCTGGAACAGCAATGTTTAATCCGTTAACGCCGTTACGGCATTCTATGCCGTCCCGCATTAAGTGGGCTTTAAAGCCGTTGCGGCGGCATAGAACGCTGTAACGGCTTTGAGCCCCTGGATGTCCGACTTACCTCCGCCGTGATCCTCTTCTGGAGGGCTACCTGACAGCCCAGGCAGCCCTCCCTCAGCAAATGAGGCCCCCGGGGCCATGGGATCGCTCTCAAAGAGCGATCACATGGCCACCTTTAGCTGGCTGTGGATCTGCCAGCAGGGGGACTGTCTGAAATGTCAGACAGTCCCCCTGCTGGTGGGAAAGTAAAAAAAAAAGAATTAAACATGTGTAAAATTAAAATAAATGTATTTTTATATATATATAATATATGTATATCTATTATATATATAATAGATATACATATTATATATATGTAACGTCATACAAAGTGTATTTTAATATTAATATAAGTACATATATTAGTATTAAAATACACTTAGAATGACGTTACATATATATAATATATATATTATATATATATATATATAATAGATATATACACATATTATATATATATACGTATAATTACAATAATAAATAAAATAATAAAATAAATAAAAATATTGAAACAAAATTTTATATAAATTATATATTCATATGTAATTTCATTCTAACTGTATTTTGTTATTAATATATATATATATATATATATATATATATATGTAACAAAATACACTTAGAATGACATTCTATATATATCTATCTATATATAAAATACAAATAACCGCAAATATATATATATATATATAGATAAATACATATAATTACATAAAAGATTACATTAGTATACACATAGAATTTAAATACCTATAAATGCATATATATTAAAATTCTACATGTATATTTAAGTAATCTTTTAACATAATTATGTGATTTGATTAATTAAAATTTGATTGACATGCCTGACAACACAGGGAGAAAGTGCAGAGAATTTAATTCGCAAGCACTATATTTGACCCTGTAACTCTCCAAGACACCATAAAACCTGTACATAGGGGGAACTGTTTTAATCAGGAGACTTCGCTGAACTCAAATATTAATATTGTACGATGATATTTTAAGTGAAAGTGAAGTATTTTGCATTTTTTACAAACGAACGGCACTTTTATGGACTATATTATTGTTGTAATATGTTTTACTGTTTTAAAACACTAATATTTGTGTTTATTGAAGTCTCCCAAGAATAACAGTTCCCCCAGTGTACAGGTTTTATGGTGTTTTGGAAAGTTGGAGAATCACATTTTTTTTTACATTGAAATTTGCCAGATTGGTTATGTTGCCTTTGAGAGCGTATGGTAGCCTAGGAATAAGAATTACCCCCATGATGGCATTCCATTTGCAAAATTAGACAACTCAAGGTATTACAAATGGGGCATGTCCAGTCATTTTTAGTAGCCACTTAGTCACAAACACTGGCCAAATATTAGTTTTTTGTCTTTTTCACACAAAAACAAATATGAACGCTAACTTTGGCCAGTGTTTGTGACTAAGTGGCTACTAAAAAAGACTAAACATACCCCATGTTCAGTACCTTGGGTTGTCTACTTTTTCAAATGGTATGCCATTATGGGGGTAATTCTCATTCCTGGGCTACCACACCGTCTCAAAGGTAACATTACTAATCTGGCAAATTTCTATTTGAAAATGGAACGTTCTATATTTGACCATGTAACTTTCCAAAACACCATAAAACCTGTTAATGGAGTACTGTTGTACTCGTGAGACATCGCTGACTACAAATATGTGTTTTGTTTTTGTTTTTTTACAGTATTATGACATTCACAGCTAAAATGTCAGACGGAAATACAAATTTTAAATAAAATCTTATTTTCTCACATTTTATTAATTTGTATTCATAATAAATTATGTTCAATATATAAATAAATAGTTAATGATAAATTAAAGCCCTGTTTCTCCTGAACAAAATGATATATAATAAGTGTGGGTGCACTTAAAGTGACGGCGGTGAATTACGGTTGAACAGACATTTAGCGCAAATTCCAGTTTTTGTTTAGGGGGGTTAACATTGCAGAACTAAGGGCAATAGACAGCACCCCCTGTGTTACAGACAGCACCCCGTGTTACAGGCACCCCGTTACAGGCAGCACCCCCTGTTACAGGAAGCACCCCCTGTTACAGGCAGCACCCCCCACCTGTGTTACAGACAGCACCCCCTACATGTTACAGGCAGCACCCCCTGTTACAGGCAGCACCCAGGCCGTGTGGTATAGACCGAGGAGCTCACAATCTGACTGTGCAGACTGATAAGGGATCCTCTGACCCCCATAAACAAACTGGCCAAACATTGTATTCCACTTACCCACACCACAAACATTGTCCGTGCCTTCATCATACACTCACAGAGCTCCCAAAACCTGGCCGCGCTCACAGAGCTCCCGGATCCCAGCCCCCGGCCGCGCTCACAGAGCTCCCTATTCTAGCTCCAGGATCCCAGCCCCCGGCCGCTCTCACTGACTCCACTCAGCCCGATGCTCGCACCCGGGATTTGGGAAACACTCGCGAGAAGCCAGTCACATGACATGCGTAGCGTTACCATGGAGACCCCGAGCCCACCGGAGAGGGGCGGGGCCTGGAAGCCAGTTGATCTCCATATGACTGTGGAGTGATGGATGACCTGGGTCACCCCAGGCATGGAGTCATGTGCCCTCTCCTTGTGTTATAAGGATAGCCCTCAGAGTGTGTCACATGGCAGACAGCTATGGAGATCGTGCTGTGCTTAGCCCATTACCATTGTATGGGTGACAAGCTATTCAGATACACACAGCTTCAAATCCAACTACAAAGGGAGAAATCTGAGGAAATGGCTTACTTTATATCAGGATGGAAAGGGTTGATACTAAAGTGTGGGTCATTGAGAATTTAAAGTTAAATTAAAGTTGAATAAATAAATTTCAAGTATAGAACAAAATAGCTGTAATGGAAAAATTCTCAATTTTGACTTTTAACATTTGACTATTTGGCCTTAATTTTGGAAACTGTGACATTTCACACTTTAGTAAATAATTGTTTTGAGTATTTTTTAGAAAATGGAATTTGGAGGCATATTTGCAGGTTTATCCATTAAAGGAACACTCCGTGCACTATAACCACTACGAGTTGCACCATGCCTCCAGTATAAGTAGAACAGCCGTTTGAGCACAGTTTAATCCCTTACTTGGGGTCCACAGGGCACCACTCCCTACTTACAATGGAGAGCAGGAAGACACACACACCCATATGAAATTTATCACAGCAGATTATATGGGTACACATACACACTGACACACAACAACGTGGCTGTTAAATTTCAGGCATTTAAATATCAAAATAAAATAATTTTTCTTTACTATTATCAGGAATGATGACAGTGAACTTGAGTCAAGAACAAAGAAAGTGGATTTTAAAGCAGTACTGGAAGACTGAAAATGTCGAGCAGGTGCACAAAGTCGGGCAATAAGCATTTGACAATCCACCAACACATCTGACAATTTATGGTTTGAGAAATAAATTTGAAACAATGGGTGCAGTAGTTATTGCAATGAAATCTGCACGTCTATGACAAAGGAAAATGAGTTGAGAGTCGCTTTGACATTTGTGAACAGTTAGAAAAAGTCCACATGACGCACTTCTCAGAAGCAAACCATCCCAAGAACGTACTTGCAATGCGTAATCGTCCAAGACTGTTATATTGTCTCTTGGAGGATTTTTGCAGACAGTTGGTTGCAAATCTGTGAGATGATGGGTAACCAAACCTCTAACGAACCAGACCTTCTTAATAAGATCATCTGGTCAGATGAGGATTCTTTCAAACTATCAGGCCACATGAACAGGCACAACTGTGTGTATTGGGCAGATGAAAATCCTCATTTATTTTATTTATTTATTACTGGTATTTATAAGTCATTTGACTATCAAATCACAACTGAACTATAAAGGCGTCACAGTGTGGGGTGCACTGTACAGCGAAGGTGTTGTAGGACCGGTTTTCTCTGTTAGAACTCTGGATAGTAACAATTACCTAACGTTGTTGTGCAATATGGTAGTACCACAACTCAGAACCAAAGCTAACTTCATTGAACTGCTCTTTCAAGATAGGGTACCTACTCTTTAAGCTTTTGCATCTTTCCATAACATTGGATCAGACGACGGGGCAGCATAGAATGGCCACTACGTTCATCCAAATTAACACCAATGGACTTCTTTTTTTTGGGGGTGTAGTAAAGAATAAGGTTTTTAAGAGGAAGCATCAGACAATGGATGAGTTATGGAAGAGTTAATCTAAGAAGCATTTATGGACATTAAGGCGGAGTGTAATTTGTGAGGTACTGTGTGTCACTGTGTACTGGACAGGTGTCACATCTTGCCTTGTTCTGCAGATCATTCTGGCCTTGGCTTCTGGTATCCAGTACTCTTTTTAAAATCCTTGCTTAGTTTTTCTTGGGTTTTCTGGTTTTCTATTCTATGTCTGGTTTTCTTTATGCTGGGTTTCTGGGTTCATTCTTATATTTCGTCCCTGGATTTCCCAGTCTCTTGGATTAATTTAAATGTTTGTTTTATGTTGCCACACCCGTTTTCCATTTTCCTTTTGTTTCAGTCTGGACCTGCAGGCAGCTGCTCAAGCCTTCTGCCCTTTTTTGCAGGTAAGTGCTATGTATGTGTTTCTTATGGTTCTTTTTGTATACATTAGGCAGAGTAGGACCTGCCAGATATGGGGTACATTGGCGTTGTTGGCAGGCTTATGCAATGTATGATCATATAATGTGACTAAATCCCCATGATTTTCATATATAGTACTTAGTTATTTCTCCTCTTGTTTTGCCTATCATATCTTGTCTTGTTTTAGTTTGTATTCCCAGTCCATGTACAGTCCTGCCCTGCCCCTGTTTAGTTAATGTTCCCTTATGTATTGTGTAGATGTTCTGGGTTTAGCTTCCTATCCTTCTCTGGTTCTGGGTTCTACTAGTTCTGTCTTGTTTTCATGTTTGGCGACTATCCTAGCCTTGCCTTGTTTCTGTACTGGATACATGTCTGCTGCAGAGCCCCCCTATCCAGTTCCTGGGAGGTCTGCATATCAAGCTCCTAGTTCCTTGGATCCGCTGTAGCTGCATCAGGGTTCTGGTATGTGGCTGCGCAAACGCTGGTGCTCAACGCCAGAGGACGTGTGGTTACCCTGCACCAGGCCCTGATAGTCCATTACCACGCTGAAGACTCCCACTTCTTCACTTCAGGCACTCTGGGGTCCCGGTTCCCATACCGCCACCCGTGACAGAGTCTGGGTCCCGGGCACGGGACCGCCACCACTGACAACAGGTTCAAGGAATGTTGCAATAAAATACCAGATGACATTTTTTATCTTGTAATACATTTTTTATTGGATTTTGGAATGACACGCTTTCGCGAGAACTTCCATTTCTCAGATCTAAAGCTTTTCTTTTCTTTTTTTATTCTTTATTGCACATTTTTTATAATGAAGATTAAAAAAAGAGTATGATAGACGTTGCAAAGCCAGATGCAGAATTATGCAATTACTCAGGGTTTGTAATAAAAAGAGATGAAGACAAGGTTAGGCTACGAAAATAGTGCCACTGGGTGCCTAGTGAGGACTATGTGAAGTGACCAAGGGGTTGTGTTATGCATAAAGTGCAGGGTGTTATATTAAGCATATATAGGGGTAATTTGACCCAGGCTAAGCAACTACAAGTTAGGAGGTGAAGCAGAGAGTATGGGTGCTCAGCCTATGCCCATCCGACCCTCAAATGTGCCCCAGAGCTAGGTGCCAGCCATGTCCCACAGTCCAGCTACCCCCCAGTCCCAGACATTTCCACAGTCCAGTGCGACGGTCTCACTGATCCTGTCGATCGTGGCTTCCCGGCTCAAAGCTCGTGAGCTGTCATCAGGCTCCTCGATGTGGTGTGTAATTTTCTGAGCGTGTGAGCAGCGCCCACGGGAATTACCCTTTGTAGATTGAGATCTAAGATTGTAGTGAGCGTTGATGGAACCAGGCTTTTGGTGAGTGCCGGCACTTCTCCGCTCCCTCCTACACCTTTTCCAAAGCGGCACCTGGACACAGTCTCTCATGTCATGCTCGGTGATTCCACTGTTTGTTGATGTACTGGGCAGAGCCGGGGCTTGTGTTGCAGGCATCTTAGATTGGAGGCCCTTTGTGTGCCAGAGTTGAGGCCCTCTGGTTGCCATAGCCGGAGCCACACATGTCTCTCTCGGAGCCCTAGATGGGAGCGGCTGGATGGTGAGTTGTTTAGCTCCATCAGCCATCTTGGTTTGCACGCAACCAGTTTTTATCTTTGCGGGTTTGTCTACCCTTGCAGGTCAGCACTCCAGTGTGGACCGGTCCAGAGGGTGGTAACAGGGCCGCCGATAGGCTTCAGCCATGTGTGCTCATCGTTTCCCCAGTCGCCGGGCACGCTAGACAACAGATGTGCTTCAAGGTTTGTGCTGGTCAGACCGTCACCGCACAGACAGCATACGGTACAGGCAATTTCATTGTCGGTCTGCAGCAGGTTCAGGAGTGTTTCTGCATCGCCGTTACGCAATTTATCCTTGTTTTGTTGCTTAACTGGCCAGAGCTACAGCATCCAGCCATTTTGGGTGCCAGTACCCGCCCCCCTAAAGCATTTCTGATCAAAAACAACACGTAGAATTCAAAGTTGAGTTTGAAGTGAACTTGAGTCAAGAACACTGGGATTATAGTGACATGAGTGCAGAAAAAACATCAGGTTTGAGAGAAAATAGACTCCATTCACACAGAGGTGTAAATAATTTGTGTAAGGATCATAGAGCTAGGGAGGAGAAATTTAAAATAAAAAAAACAAGCAGTGCAGGTGATGGCACTAGAAGGGGCAGAGTCCACCTATTAATGCTCATATTTGGAAGAGGAGGCCACCTTGCATTGCAGTAAATACGTTGAAGACTCCTGTGGAAGGTGGCCTGGGGTTGCCTGATACAGGGCCTATTATATTGCCTCAATAATGGCACAGATGGTTTCTAACCTGGGATTACGAGACATCCGATTGTGATTTACACTGTACTACCATACTTGTTTCACCACGTGTTATGGGTACAGCAACAACCGCTCCCCTCGATCCCAGAAAGTACTCCATAGTTGAAATTAACACTACTCATGTGGAAGCGTCATGCTCCAATGCTTTAAGCCTACTGTGGCTCATAAGTTCTCACCACTCTCTCAATGTTGCCATTCCATACTACAGATTTAAATTTGTGGGTATGTGAATCACTCAGGTATATCAGGTTTTGACCAAATCAGGGGTTAAATCCCTTATGGCTCTGTCAGAGGAATTTGAATTTGCACTAGAAGAAATCTAGATGTATATCTCATATTTTTTATAATGAAGATTAAAAAAAGAGTATGATAGACGTTGCAAAGCCAGATGCAGAATTATGCAATTACTCAAGGTTTGTAATAAAAAGAGATGAAGACAAGGTTAGGCTACGAAAATAGTGCCACTGGGTGCCTAGTGAGGACTATGTGAAGTGACCAAGGGGCTATGTTATGCGTCAAGTGCAGGGTGTTACATTAAGCAAAACTAGACTTCACAAGTGCTGGCTAAATTTGACCCTTCTGATCACATTACGTTATGGGATAAACTGTGAGCTACCTACAAGGTGCAACGGAAACCACTATCTCTGTATTATCACTCGCTTCAATACTCCACAGGGCCTAGTAAACGTTTGTATTTGTTTAATTGAGAATTTGAACTGAATAAAAGTTTTACTGTGGGAAGTCCTTTGTCTATATGACTCAGGCTTCTAAATCTTTAAAATGATTGGAAATTGCATTGCAAGTTATCTGTCCGCCACTCATGTGGCTCCCAGATCCACCTACCGCCATATTTCCAGTCCCTGCTCTTTACTCTAGCCTCCCTGATGCCAGCCACTGTATGCATGCCCCTTTTAATGACACTATACACGCGCACTAGGGTTGCAAGGTTGATTTTGAGTTGTCACTACTATTATATCATTTTGACCTACGTGAAACCCCACCACCTCTAAGGACCCATAACACATCTATTTGCTGAGGTTGTGCTCTGCGTGTTAGGATTTATTAACATATCCTTGGCATTATCCATGCAATGGTGTTTAACTATGCATTGGCTTGACTAAATCTAATAGTTCAAAATCTGTGTAGCACAGGGATGGAAGTTGACTACAGGCTTGCTCATGATGAGTCATTTCATCAAGTCACAAGTATCAAGTGTCTGACGAAGCTTTAAGTTTTGGATTTCCTTGTGATATTCTGGCCTTTCTGCTATTGTATTTACAAATAAATGTACCTCTTTTTTTCTAAACTATGTGAAGGCTGATTCTACATCAGCATCTGGCTCTGTCAGTATCCATGGTGGGGACTAAACCACCCAAGCTCCATTTACCAGAGAAAGGCTGCTCTGGAATTCATAAGAAGTTTTCTCTATTTACCTTTTTATTAATTTATTCTGCATTAATATGCACCTTTATAGGTCGGAGTAGGACATTTGAAATAGTACTGAAAAAATGGTGAAGGAAAAATAAATAAGAATAGAAAAAGGGCTGGAAAAGAGAAAAAAAACAGGAAGAGAGAGAGGGGGGAAAAGGGGGGGAGAGGTAAGCTGCCTCCTATCCCCATGCAACCTTGGCAAGCCAGGCCCTCCAGGATCTCCCCTAGCATCGCCCTACACATATCCCATTTCCCCCAGATACTGGTTGTGAAATTCATCAGAGAATGCAGTCAAAAGCCATGGGGCCAAGTTATCTGTATGTGCCTGTAACCTGCCCTGTGTAGAGTGCTATAACTCCTCAAGAACCCTCAGTTCCTCCATCTTGACCAACCAAAGTGACATCAAGGGGCCATATCTAATTGATGCAGACACGTGGCCGGGAGAAAAGGTGATTGATTGTTGGAAAATTTGGAAATTATAGATGCAATGCTCCTCCAATAAGGTACTATAACCTACAACTGCCTTCTTTCTACACATATTCACACCATATGTGTAGAAAGAAGGCAGTCCCTTTTGCTCCATCTCCAGCACAGACCATCCATTTCTGGGTGCATCCAATGTAATCATTCTTGGATTGCGTGAGGACCTTCTATGCAAATTCCTGTGTTTTACTAGGAAAGGCCCAGTGATGCACCAGGTTGCTCTTTTTGTGCCATTGTGTTTCTGAAAATATTGTCATTAAGGTCATTTCCAAACTGGAACAGAAGGGGGTCCCTGTTGCTGCTGCGTTGCAGAATAAAACTGAGATAAAGGTGCTGGGTCCTGGCTTAAGAGTTCAAATGATGTAACATCTGTATAAAGAAATGTGTTATAGCCCTATTTAGGGTTAAAAAGTATGTAGGGGTTTATAAAACACCCCTTCATGTCTCATTAGAGACGTTTACCTTTGTCTGAGACCAGCAAAGTTTATTGCATGTGTAGAAGCCCTATAAAGGGTTAAATGTGAAAGGGTTTATAAAATACCCCTTCCTGTCTTATTAGAGATTCTTGGCTGATATCAGCAAATATAATAGATAGTGTAGCACTCACCTTTTGAGGCTTGCCTTGACGTGGCAGGTGAGCTTATATTCAAATGGCCATTGGAATAAAATGAAAGAGCCTCCATTTTGTTTAAATGTACATAGGGATTTGGGCCAGAGCACAGGTAACTTTATCTATGTTTTTACTATGTATTTTAAACTGTTAGATACTAAGCCACTGCTGCTGTAAGTGTGGTGCTTTATTTTGTTTGTATATAGGTTAGATTTTTGTGGAATTTTGGTGATGCAGTACCTGAGCTGGGCATATATGAAATGGGTCATGAAATCTGGATTTGGGGTGGGTATTCGCCTTTGGAGAGGTAGTATATTCCGCTCCTCGATAACATACTGGCCTCTAGGTATTTCTTGGGGAAGGATATATCTTAAACCTCTAGCTAGTTCCCCTGTGTTCAGAGTCTGGGTTGTAGGTCAGAGTCAATAGTGGGGAGGGGAACAAAGATAGACCCATATGTGCAGCTTGTTAATGCCATATTGACATGGTGGTGGAGATGAAAAGCTGTTGTGTGTACAGTGGTCTGCTTGTGTGGAAGTTCAGCCATAAGAGAAATGAAAATGGCCTAGCCACTTGGTAAGTTTCTATCAATTTCCATGGTCTATGGACCCTGTCTTTAGCCCATTCTGGCTTGCATGAAAGTATAGTTTAAAGAAGGGAACCACAAGTCCTCCCCTTGCTTTGGGCTGAGTCAACTGTGTAAATTTCTGTCTGGGTCTGGTGCCCATCTACATAAACTTAATGAGGTGTGTTGGGACATAAATAATGCCACTGGTATGGTTATTGGTAGTGTTTGGAATAGATATAACACCCATGGTAGTGAATTCATTTTGGTAATGACTACTTGTCACAGTGCATGAGAAGTGTGGAAACACCCAGCCTGCCAGATTCTTTTGGATATCCCTCAAGAGGGGTACAACATTTGTTTGGTATTTTTCTGCAAATCTCTAGCCAAACCCCTAGGTATTTATTTTCTGACTCTCTCCATTGGAAGGGAAAACTCTGACAGATCAGGTCTGCTCGCCATCACAAGATACCCAAAAAAAAATATCATCGGTGTACGCTGTAAGTACCTTACTTTATAATGATCGCACCCCCATGTCCACCCCTTTGATATTCTAGTTGTTATTGATTGCCTGCAGAAATGGCTTGAGGACAAGGACGAAGAGCAGCGGTGACAGAGGGCAACCCTGTCTGGTACCATTTTGGATGGGGAATGACTCTATATATGCCCCTTTAATACACCCCCGTGCCGTGGGGGATGAGTAGAGGGAGCGGATCCATTCAATCATATGTTGCCCCAGGCGTAAATGTTCCACCACCACAGATAGGTAATCCCAGTCAACCCT